AAAACGAAGTCTCGCGCTGTCGCGAACTTGTTCGTAAGCGGCGCGATCACCTCATACGTACGCACGCATGAGATGCGTGCGTGCGTACGTATGAGGTGATCGCGCCGCTTACGAACAAGTTCGCGACAGCGCGAGGCTTCGTTTTGCAAAATGGCGGCATCGAGGGCAAGCACCGACCGGCTCTGTGGCTTAAAATATGGCCATAATCTGGCTATAACACTTGGATTGGCTCACATTGGCTGCCAGCAACACGTGCTTCTAGTTTGATCTACCAGATGGCGCAACACGCTTCACGCTCGTTACGTACGCGGGTACTACGGCGTACTAAAAGCCGATTAGTGGCAAACGACGCCACGTAACGCAAGGCGCTTGCGTGATGCGTACGTAGCATCATTCCGTAGTACTAAAACTCTATATTGTCGGAAGCAGCAGGGGCTGGTGCCAAACGGGCGTCCTTGCAGGTTGATGTTGCAGCCGTGTTGGGAAGACGAGAAAAGTGTGGAGTGATACGGTGACTTTTCCCGTCTTCGAAGCGTCGGCATTCATTAATAACGTCGTCTACAACCGATAAGTTTCGAAATACGAGGAGATTGAAGGAGTCATCGGCGATTCGTTTCAGGATGTGCGCGACCTTTTCAGATTCCGGCATCTTGTCATCAACCTTTCGGCAGAGGGCGAGCACATGTTGTATGTATGTGACGTACTACTCGGTGCCGGACAGGAGTCGGGACGCTAGTTCTTTCTGCGCAGCACGACGACGCCCGATGGGCTTGCCGAAGAGATCGATGAGTTTCTGCTTACAGATGTCTCAACTCGTGATATCTTCCTCGTGGTTGGAAAACCAAACTTTAGCTTTACCATCAAGGTAGAAAATAATATTGGCCAACATGAGCGTTGGATTCCAGTTGTAAAGAGCGCTCACCCTTTCGTACAGCTGAAGCCATTCCTCCACGTCAGTACAGTCACTGCCCGAAAATGTACCTGGGTCACGCGGTTGAGTCAGGACGATGGTGCGGTTAGTAGCAGCTGGATGTGGTGCTGTTGGTTGCTGCGTAGTTTGACGAAGCACGGTTGGGGTAGTCTCCAAAGAATCCTCGTGTTCGTCTTGATCAGGCATCGCACAGGCAGCCAAGTAACGTCCGCTGCGTAGAATCGTCGTGGTGTTGACTGCGGGAAGACCCGCACTCTCCACCAAAATGTTACGGGAAAAAGGCGTCTGAAAAAATGCCTTTACTTCTGGTAAACAGGCAGGCACACAATATGGAGCCCAGTCTGCACGAGCTCGCCCTAAACATCGTCCTCTTTTCTACAATGTTCATTTGTGGCACCCCGTAGCAGTATATATATATTGACACTGTGCTGCGCTTATCTGGGACTAACCCTTAACTGTGAGCGAATACTGGGTTTCTCCGAAGCTCGATGGCGGCAATTCCAAAGTGTGACCCTTCGATAACATTCTCCACAGGGTGTGCTTCTGCAGCATACTGAAGGTAAGCTTTTCATTCATACCTTTTACCACTTTTACCACTTTTACCACCATACCTTTTACCACCCGTACTGTCCAAGGACTGTACCACTTATACTGTCTTTCCCACACATGGTCTGGTCACTAATGAGCACGCACGAGTGACCAGACCCTGTGTGTGTGTGAGTGACCAGACCCTGTGTTAGGGGAGTGGTTTACACGTCTTCTGCTTTCACCACGTAACTTGCGTTCGCGGTACAGAGAGCACGAAGATCGCGTCAATATCTGCAGCCGCCGCGTTTTAGGAAGGATTTTTCTGCTAGCTAGAAGAGTCGATGTAAGGAATTTGGTTGCGCAAAGTTATCACGTGCCGGGAACAGCTAAAACGCTAAGCAGTAAAAAATGTCATAGTTGTTTGCTTGCGGTAATCCTGTGTGCACTACTGCGTCCCCTTTGTGAGTCCTTCTTTGGCAACAGAATCGAAAGTTGGGCTAGTTCTTTGGCCTCGTTCACAAAAGCGTGCCGGATACTATACAGAGAGAGATGGCATGGGAAAAAGTCAGCGTGAGAGCACGTGTTAAGAATCGCTCTCTCACAATGTGATCTGCTGTAACGTGTCGTTCGCAGGTGTAGGGTGTAGGGTGTATGAATCGTAGCGCCAGCCCACAATTACAAACCACGGCAAAAAGCACAGTCAGATGCTTCACGTCGGTTATTGATTCCTCTTGTCGCATTAGTTATACCAACAAATAGTAGGCCATCTGCTGTTTGACGTCAAAAAGAATACGCGGCAGTCCCAATGAGAGTGAGCACTGGCCTTTGAATAAGAAGAGGTGTCCTGGGATTGGCAACTAGGCTCTGCACATACCCGTTCAGTGCCGCCCGTGATTGCAGTATTTGGATTGAATATTCATAGGAACGTAATATATACGCCGTGTGTGTTATACACGCCAATCTTAGCGTTCACGCTGGATTGTCATAATACCTTTTCTAACACTGACTCATCACACAGCCAAAACTTGGTACGCTCTTCTCTTAGCGTACTGTATTGTACCTGTGTAGAATTGGAGATTTTCTGTAAGCCATCAAAGTAATCGTAATTTTTTGATGTTGACAGGATGTCAATATCATCCCAGCTGGACTGTTTCTTCGCCCACATTGTAGTTATCGGCTAAAAATCGGCCAAAATAGAACACTCGTCAATTATGGATTTGCCAGCCTTTGGCACCTATCCGTCCTCCAGGAATCAGACCTTCACAACTGACGCCCATGTTACAAACAACGTTTCAATGGTCGAATCCATGAGCTGCCGTAGCCTCTCAGACACCATGGCACTAATTTTTGCCGCCAGGCTTCTTTCTCGTGTGTGAAGGCCTGCAGCGGCTTGTAGCGGCTGTGCACAATCACGACCGCAATTACCGTTTGCGCACCTTTTCCACATGGTATCATCCTACAAAGAGAGTAATGAATTGAAACCGTGGGAGCTATCGATGATGTGCAAGTTAATGCAGTGGCTGACGACACGCACTGCTCAAGCTGCTGCAGTCTTAGCTGTCTTTCTACATTATCTCCAATGCCCAGCAAAGCGTTCTGCTCTCTACTTGTTGGAACCATTACATCAGACCGGTGTTTACACTTGCTGTTTCTCCTAATTTTCAAATGTGGTGCAACCTTCCTTAGGCCAGATGACTGCAATACACTAAATCTACTCTGGTTCTGAAGAGCCACCGCACTAGCGCCCATACATTTCTGCGACAAAACGGGGTGCTCCACGAGCCATTGATCGACATGCCACGGCGTCAAGTAATCAGCCTTAAGGCTGTCCAAGGCATCTCCTGTGTATTTCTGTAGTTTTTTTTTGTTACAGTTATTAATTAGGCATCACAAACGAAGCTTTTTAATTACACCGCTTGACATTGTAACAGTAATGTTCTTGCAGGTCAAAGAGTCTGACGCTTGAAAAGAAGTACAGGAACTTTTGCAATGAAGTCTCTTCACTACAATAATTATTTATTATTTTAGGCATGCAATATTACCTAATTACGCAGCTTGAGTAAATAGAAAGTATTATGAAGCTTTCCTTTACACAGAAAAAAGTGCAGAACTAATCAGGAGTTTAAGAAGTGCACGCCTTACCTAATAGTTATCTCTATCTCATTGTTCACTCCTCCCTCATAACACTTTCCTTTCTCCAAGCCGATAAAGGCAGGTGCGTACTAAACAGCGCAACATTTCTGTTGCTGTAGGCCCCAACTGCAGTGATGAGTAAAACGGGGCTAAGCAGCAATGAAAGCCAACGTGATGTAACATGTGGCCTTGAAAAAAAACCGTCATGCTTGCGGTGATGTATACTGTCTGCGTGCCAGCCTCTGGTGTTGCAGTATTGCAGAGTAGGTGAGAGGTATGAACTCCGCCTCCGTAGACGCAGTCCTGGCGTCTAGAAAGTGGGAAGGGGTAGCCCGGTAGGCGTGATCGCGGGCCGTGGCATGAGCCGCCTCATTTCTCTCAACTCCTTCGTGCCCAGGAACCATTTTCACACAGGTGAACGGCATCGGAATGCTTCGGTGTTGCAATATCTCGATTGCTTGGGTAGACACACTACGTGTGCTGTAGTTTCGCATAGCTACTCGAGAGTCTGTAAATAGTACGGCTACATCCAAGCACGTTAAGGTAGCTAGGGCAATTTCCGCCTCCTCTGCAGTTTCTGGGCTTCGGGCGCGTACTGTGGCAGATGCGAGCTCTACGACCCGAGAATCAATGACGCTCAAAGCGTATGCGTGTCTACCAGGACACTTGGCTGCGTCTGTATATCTGGCATCCGGATCTGCAGAACAACATATACACGGCACACTAATGCACCAATATAACTAACATTGCATCAATATTTTTGCCCGAATTCCGCCGTACCTGACACGTTGGTTCACCTAATTCTCGAATGCCAATGCAACACAAATACAGATCTATCGCTTCCACCGAATACCTGCGGCACTGTCAAGAAAACGAACACCTTTTCGAAAGGTGAGAGGCCAAGCTCACCTTGGGGGACCGGGACCAACAACGACGTCTTGTCGCCAGTACCAAGGAGGCAGCGAAGACCAGATGGTTTTTGACATGAAACCTCCTACCTGAGGTGAACGTGGAACCTACACCGCTACACCGTTTCGAAAACTAAACGTTTATTCCTCCTCCTCGTCCCCATGCCTGCGGGAAAGCACAGTGCCGTAGCAGTAAAAGCTGAAAGAGCATCCTTTCTAGAGGCCTTTTTACACACTTTTGAGGCAATTGCTACAAGCCAATTAGCGTGGTATGGTTATATATATAAAGTATATGAAGTACTCCGTATTCTATTTATTGTCATTCTTCGCAAAAACGACGTATACGCTACATTTGATTGATTGATTTGTTGGGTTTAACGTCCCAAATATACGCTACATTTGCAGGGAATGGAGTGCTCTTTGTAGATACTATGCCTGAAGGCGCTGAATATTCCTATGTGAGAGAAGGTCAACAAGAACAACAAGAACAACTTTTGTAAGGTGGTTAGAGCAAACAAAGAGATGTTCGTGTTTTATTGAAACTTCATCTTCTATATATAGGTAATTTCTAAAGTAATACGACGTTACTGAAAGGCTGTGTTATGCGTCAGTGATGTGGCCACATAGATTCACATGTACGCATAGATGTGGACATGTTTATGTCATCTTTGTTTTCACGCTGATTAGACTTCCGAAAAAAAGCTCGCATACAACCCGAAGCTTGTCGTCCGCGACATATCCTTCACGTTCCTGTTCATCCAAGTCCAATCGGCATAAAGTAACAAGTCGTGATTTACTAATTATTTCGTGAGGCTCGACATAGTTCGCAGCATTCATTCCAGCGTCAATGTCCTTGCGGAACTCTTTGTTTTGCGTTGGGTGTTTAATGGTCATTTGAAAATTTCTATTGAGCGGGTATTCATGAACCTTGGTCAACCCCTGGTGCACCTGAATATAGGGATACAGGTAAGCACGATTTTTGTCTTGAAGAAAGTAAGCACCAGGAGAAATGAAATGGTAGGAGTAGTATATAGTTTCACCCCAATAAACTTTTCCTTTCGAAGAAGTGCTTTCCTTCTTTGCTTTGTATCCTTCTATAGTGAACTCTCTTCTATGCTCACTTATTGAACAGGGCATTTTTCATAGTTTATTGCACTTGAATCAGCTTGCGTGAAGCAGTCCTTTACTCCAGCAATCTTGCCAACACTTTCTGCGCAGTTGCTGCAGCCTTTTCTCCCGGTAACCGCAAACTCTTTTCGAAGAGTTTCCTGTAGCGCAACACTCCCAATGGTAAAGAATTCTCTCAAGTGCGCTTCCAGAGCACTCGGCATGTCCTGTTTCAGTTGTTCCAAAGTTCGCAAGCCTTCGTTCAGTGTTTTGTGTGAAGTGCTTATTGTCCCAATAATCTGCTGCAGCTTTTCAGCTTGGTCGTTCAGAGCTTCGTTGATTGCTTCTGAGGAGGAAGTACCACTGTCAAATCTGTTAGTTTTGTTTAATATCTCTAGCAGTGTTTCTTTGAACGTATTCATGCAATGTGAAATGTCATCGAGGCGGTTACTTTGCGCGTCATTTTCCAGTTTAAGGTGATCTAAGATCACTTTCATTTCATCTGCCCGTTTGTCGATATTGGCATTCATTGTCATCACTATTCCTTTTTCACCATTTGTCTTAGCGTGTGGATTCCTGGGCGCCATAGTCATCACATGATCCCTGCACTCGCTCTGCATGTGCGAGCACACGTTGTTACAGCGAACGATCATCGAACACTTCGGACAAGAAGTGCAGTGACAGTCACATTGTTTGTAAAAGTGTTTGTGGAGTTCCGATGCAGGTAAGATAACGTCGCAACCATGGTCTTCGTTCCAGCACTTCACCTGTTGAAAACAGAAAATTAACGACTTTAAGTCATGTGTACATCCATTTGCGATTTTTCCCATATCAACATCATTAATGTAGAAATGCGGATTTTGCAAATAGCTTCCAAAATGAGACAGTTTACACATTAGGCAGACAAACAAACAGACACTAAACATGTATCACGAACTGAAAGAGGTTTTATAAATTCGAAATAGTTAATTCACAAAATCAGGATTGAAGCACTCATAGGTTTCTCTTTGTTGGTAGCCGCACTCCATAGAAATACCATCGGACAAATATATCTCTAATAAAAACAGCAGTAGACAGAAAAAAACTGAAGTAAATAGTATTTTGGCCAAGTTGATTTCAGTACCGTTAAAGCATTTATTGCTATGAAAGGCAAGCACGTTTGTTTCCCTAGCAGTTTCGCTTATGCGATTCTGCTTACCAGCGCTAACTGTATGTGCGGCCAAAGTTACGTCAATATCAGCAATCTTCTTAATATGGCAAAGGGTATCAGATAAGCAAATCACACCGTGAAAACAGAGACGCGTTAATATTGTCGTTAACTAAATACGCATATCTATCAGCCTGTCACATGCATATATATCATGCATATACATGTGAATACCCATATATATCTTGTATGCACGTTTAAATTATTCCAGTGATACCTGCGTTTGTCTAAACATAGTGGCTGCATGTCTAGTGGTCATACCAAAATGCAGACAAATGCACATATCTTCACCGCCTTCAGGACGTGCGCTTGTGCCCAGTGGCCGGTAAACATTCTTATAGCTGCAGCACTAACTTCGTCTCTAGAAAAAAAAACGAGTGTAATGTTGAATGTCCCAGTGGCAGCGTGAATCATTTTGGTAGCCTAGCAGTTGCACCAGACATTGCCGCGCGTGAATCTCTGTTGAATTCCATGTTTCGTTAAAAAAAAATCACTCAGCATATCCACGGAGTGCATGATGATGAGTGGGGCGAAGCGCCCGTCCGTGCGTTCTTGCTTCCATCCGTCTGTGCGTCCGTCTGTGCGAACATCCGTGCCTCCATTCGCCCGTCCATGCAATCGTCCCTGCGTCAGTCTGTGCGTCCGTCCATCCATGCGTCCATCTGTCCGTCCATTCATCGATCCATCTGTCTACCTGTCCATCCATCCATCCATTCGTCCATCTGGTGAACACTCCAAGTACCATCATCTCGCATCTTTTTTGATCATGTATTGTGCCTATAGAAGTAACGCGCCCCAGCGGACATTATAAGAACTAAAGAAGAGGTGGCACATGCGCACTTTCTTACGGCCTGCACTTCGTCTCTACTTTCCGCTTTTCACCACCTTTAGTTCGTGGCACTGCAACCCAACCCTCGCTAAACCTGTTTAGAAAAATTTATAGTCACAAACGTCAATAACCTTGCGAAAACCAAGGAGGTTACGCCCAGCGAGTTTAACGTGGCAACCCTTTATGATCATATAGCGCTCATAGTGCATCCTTCTGATACTAAGGTTTTTTTTTTTTTAGTAAGCATCATACTCAAGACAGCTTTCTTAAAGATTAACCCCCGTATTCTAGAACGCCCCTTCACTCAACGCTCCACCTTCACTTGAGAAAATTGATGGGAGCGCCATCTCTAGGAAAGACAAGTCACCGCATATCAGTGATAATTTGCTGCTATTCTTGAATAGCCAGTGTCATTTTCAGCCGAGCAGTGGCACAGTGCGCAACTCTGTCAAGCGAAGGGGGAACGTCGAGTCGAGGAGCGTTTGCGAATACCGGGGTAAGTGAACATTATTCGTCTCTGAAATATATTTCATCAGAAACAACTATCTTTTATTAGGATTAACGTGCGCGGTGGCTACTTACTACTACTACGACGACTACATACATCGCGGACGAACGACCCACGGCATAGGCAGCTTCACCCCCAAAAGCTGATCGTGTTGGCCGGAGGACCGCCTCATAAATAAAGTATTGAGTAAGTTCCGTGCGCAACTATTTGAGTACTGCAAAGCTTTCTTGCCTCTGTTTTTCAGCATGTGACAAGGAATTAAAATGTCAGGTGCGGAAATGTAAATTGGATATTTATTACAGATTGGATATTTCCCCCCTTCGGTGAAGTTGTTTTAGTGATGTTAAGTGAGGTGGAGATTCTTTTCTTTTCATACAAAGGAGGAAGCCGAGGCTGGGGTGCCTGACAAAGGCCTCGACTTCATTGTACAGTCTGGCTACAGTTAACAAAACAATATAACTACATACATGACATAATAAATAGATAAATCAGCTACACTTGCAAGTACAATAAACTGTTCTTAAGCATATAGCAATGAAAACGGTATATTTTACAGAGACCAGAGTGCAGTAAATATTTCTTTCTTTTCATTTTATATATTTTCAATGAAACATCAAAATTATATTTGTAGACAATTTATTCATAGCCACGTTCACCTGATAAGTTATTTTTTGTTTGTCATAGTTAGTAAGCGTCTTAGGAACCCTCAGGCTTTGTTTTGAAAAATGGTATGTATCATTAGTCACCGTATTGTTTTGAGTATATAAATGATTGACTTTAATATGCTGCAACAGATGAAAAAATAGACTTGATTCACTTCAAGCAAAGCATAGTGACGAAACAATGGCGAAGTGGGAATATCCTGATGACTGTCGCAGTAACCATGAATGCACCGCAAAGCTCTGTTGTAGTTTCTGGTGGTTAGTAGTCGTAGTTGTTCCCCAGACAACAATACAATAGGTTAGTTTAGAATATACAAGCGCATACTGCATCTGTAGTCTCAACCATATCGGTACAAGGCTAGTCGCCTTGTAGAGACAGCGAACACTTTTGCTTATATTAGACGCCAATAGGTCGTATATATTTAAATCGGGTGTGGGGCAGTGCCAAAAATACTATGACTGCCAAGGTTTGCCCGACCTTAAAACTCGTACTATGACCGTGTAGAATCGGGATTTCATAATTTAGGAAATAAATAGTGACTCGACGTACAGTGCAGTCAATCATTATTGAGTTACTCTCTAATAAATTCGAGTAATATTTGCACTTCTTTCTCGATGACGATGCAGATGATGATGATGATACAACATTTTTTATTAGGAAAAAAAGATAAAAAGGGAGGAGAGAATGTCAAGGATTGTTTCCCCATTCCGGGACACCAGTGGCCACTGCAGCTCGACCGGCTTGATCCAGGAGATCCCTTTGGGTCCTCAGGTCAGGTCGGGCGAGGACGGCTTCCCAAGGCTCCCCCAGTAGCGTGAGTATCAGAGGCGACTGAACCTTCATAAGCTTGTTCTGGCAGTCCCATGTGACATGTTGCAACGTTGGTCGTGACTCGCACCACGGACATTAGTTTACATATGCATTGAGGTTTATGTGATGCCGCCTTTTCAAATGTGGATAGGTGTTAACCTGAATTTTTTTTAGCTGGCGAGCTTCGTCAACTTTAAGCGATTTGTGCGGTGGGGCATACCACTGCCTTGTCTTCCGTTAATGCTCGAGTAAATCGCGTGCAGTGCATGGTTCGTACTGATTATCGGTGTCGTTGCTCACTCGGTTGCTCAAATCACGAGCGAAACTGTGCGCCAGCGCATTACCCGAGATACCTTCGTGGCCTGCACACCGAATTATAGCATGGTCCTGTATAAGCCTATCACCGAGTATTATCAAGGCGACCTTCGGTAGTGCAACAAGAAGAAACATTCTGCAGGCTTCCTGGGAATCAGACAAAACTAATGCGGAGGTGTTCTCTGCCTCTTTAGTTCGAATAGCTAGCGCAATCACCACCGCCCCCAAAGTCGCTGTACAGGTTGTTTTAATTGAAGCTGCGATAGTTTTGGCGGTGTGCGGCATTGGTTGAACTGCTACTATAACGCCGCTCTCGTTTGATTTAGTGGCATCGGTGTATACTACTTCGTGGCTTTCGCCAAACTGTCTTTGAAGCTGGCGAGCTCTAGCTTGTCTTCCCGCCCCATGGTAAAACTTACTCATGTTTCACGGAATGGGGCAGACGGTTACGTGTTGGCGTGTTTCCCTAGCCATCATAGTAATGTTCTCCCGGCAGTATTGTGGTCTAGTAGGGTATCCTAAGCGAGTGAAGGTTTCTCTGCCTACCTTTGTAAGGCAGAGTCGTTCCTTCTGCGAGAGAAGTGTTGCTGCCGCACGCTCTTCGAACGTGTTGTACACACCAATCGCTTCCACTTTGTCATTGGGTGCATTAAGTAGTACACCTAAGGCAGCTTTGTATGCTCCCTGTCTGGCCAAGTCAATCTTTTTAATTTCCGTTGGTGTGAGGTCCTGATATGGTAGTCCATATGTGACTCTACTAAGAATGAAAAATGAAGGCTTGTACCAAGCGTGGAGTTTCTCCTTCGTTTAGCCCTTTGCCCTTTCTTGTTATTTTGTGAATCATTCGAGCGATGTTTTTAGTGTACATTTCAGCATTTTGACTGTATAGATTGCTCTTTTGTTGCTTTGCAGCCATAAACCTGATATATTCTAATCGTTTATCTCTCCGGCAGCGTTTTATCTCCAATGCTTAGTTGCATGGTTGATTTGTTTCTATCATTTATACCATAAACTCGAATAAATTTAGATTTATCTGGTGCACATGTCATGTCATTATCTTCAGCAAGCCGACGATCGCTTCTTGTAAAGTTTGCTCCTTCTTTCCTTGTGAGCCTTTGTTGACCCACAGAGTGATATCATCAGCGTAGAGCGCGAAATGGAAGTCACGGATTCGCTCCAGCTGGTTTGCTATTTGATTCATTGCTATATTAAAGAGGAGTGAAAAAAGAACTACGCCTTGCGGTGTGCCTCTATTTGGCATTGGAATTTTTCGGGAGCGTATGTTCTTCATGCCGAAGGTTGCTGTGCGGTTAGAATGAAACGATTTGATATAGCTAAATGTTCGAGCACCACAATTCAATGATTGAAGTTCTTCCAGTATGTATATGAGAGATCGTATCGAATTCCTGCCTCAAATCCAACGCTGCAACTATGT